CACTTATTCTCTATCTATCTATCTCTATCTCTATCTTTAACGTTCTATCATCATTTTAAGGATTTCTTCTGAAGATCGATCGTTATTTACGAACGACAGGAAATACATTAGAGTTTAGAGTGTCGTGTAACGTTTGATAAAACGACAGGAACGTCAAGTGTAAAATCTCTCATCGAACATTGAAGAGCTCGAAACGACGACTATGACGTGTTATCGACTACGTTAGGGGATGTGTAGTATGATGTTTCCGTCGTAAAAAAAAAAAAAGAAAAGAAAAAAGAGAGAGAGAGAGAGAGAGACTGCTGTGACGATCGTTTCATCTCTGTATAAAAAGCGTATTTTTGAAAAACACGACGAACACGTATTCCACCATACCCTGTATCTTTAATCATTTACAATTCGCACACTGTCAATAGTCTATGATGTTTGTGTATAAGCTTTTTTACCTTTCATCTCGAATTACACACATATACATACATACATACACACAGAAGTTGCTTTTGCTTGCTTTTCGTAGCTTTTAACGCCACGAGTTTTTTCCACCCTTCAAAACCCTTCCCTTCTTCCCCATCGAAAATGATTATAAGTATAAATGATACGTAGGTAGATGTATTCTCGTATATGTAGAAATCGTATTAATGAAAATTTTTAACCAATCGTACGAGAGAAAATTATTTTCGAGATACTTCTTTTCTTTACGATTGAACGTGTATGTGTATGTGGGTGTATTTTCTTCAATACAATGATAAAGACAAGTGGACACGAAAAAAAGAAAAAGTAATATTATTTTCGTAATATATTTCTCACGAGTAGTAGTCGATGATAGGAAGAAAGAAATATTTCTCTTCAATTCGAGAAAACTGTGATAATAAAAGGATGATAAAAAGAAAAATAAAGGATAAAAAAAAAAAACTAGAAAAAGAAATAAAGAGAGAGAGAGAGAGAGAGAGAGAGAGAGAGGATAGAAGGAACGGAGTCACGAGACATTATCGTTCCTGACGTGAAATTTTCTTCACTGATATATAGATGCTGATACATCGTGCGAAGTATCGAAATAAGACAGCTGACGAGTTAAGATTACCGACGGTTTCTCGCTTGGATTTTTATTGGCACCGATAGCAGCCTCACTTGCCAAGAGATTGATGTATACACGTATAACCACACACACACACATATACACATACTTTCTCTCTACTCTTTTCAAATATACATACACACATGGACATACATTGGAACGCACATTTTCCTACCCTCTTTTTCCCCATATTGTCTTTTCCTTTAGAAAATATTCGTGAAAAATATTGGAAATGAATATTTGTAGATTTAAATTTAGATTATTTATGAAACAATCAACACGTTTGCGGATGGTAACATTTTCTGCGAGGAATAATAAGTGAGAGTCATTTTATTTTTCAATTAATTGTGATATTCAATATTTGATTAAACACATTTAATAAGGGGGTAATGGGATTATTATAATATATTAAAGAATTAGTTGGTCATTATTTTTACAGGTATTAATAATTACAAGAACTTAACCATTCTTTGCGTGATTTGTTTTTTTTTTTTTTTTTTGAAGTTGCCAGCAACAACAAATATACAGTACAAGGGTTTTAAGTACCTTTTTTTGTTGACTAAATATTATGATTGAAATTTCCATCATCATGCAAAGAAGGGTTAAGGTTATATAAAATAAAATTCAAAATAATTGGCTTTAAAATTGCAATGCTATAGCATTCACATCCACGAACGTGTTAACTAGACTTTTATATATGGTTTACAATGTCATTATCAATGGGATATTTGATCGATATTTACATTTTTATATTTAATTAAATGATACGACAATGCAATTAGATTTTGTCAAAAGATATTCATCAATTTTCTTGATAAATTGAACAGTAACAATATTCGTAATCAATTATTTTCTATATATTTTATTTGTATGTTTGTTTTCGATTAGTTAAGTCAATGTTTAATCGATTAGTCAAATATTTAAATAGTTCTCAACGTAAAATACGAGAAAAATTCTAACCAAACCTTTTTTCTTTTTTTTTTCTTCTATTTTCTAATTTTCCCCGTTCCTGTTCCCTTGTGAATTAAAAAGTTGTCACGATTATTTTCTCCCCCATCGAGTTGGATAATACGCTCGTTCACTTCTATCAACTCGAAACGATCGAGTTTACACTGACCGATGTTGAGACGACTGCGATTACGAGACGAGAACGAAAACGAGAACGAAAACGAGAACGAAAACGAGAACGAAAACGAGAACGAAAACGAGAATGAGAACGAGAACGACGACGTCAATGCCCGTTGAAGGATTCACTACTCTGTAATTTTCATCCTCGTAATCCCGTTCCGCAAGGGTAAATACGAAAGGGAAAAAACCAAGAGAGAGAGAGAGAGAGAGAGAGAGAGAGAGAGAGAGAATCTTTTATCCTCGATCGAGTTTGCTATCCCATCTTGCTACGGATAATCTACGCTGGATTATTCTCGAGAAGAAGAAAAAGAGACGTTTCTATCTAATCTCTAAGAATTTATAGTTAAACCCTAATCGATCATTTTCATTCACTTTGGATAATGAAAATGATGATTTTTCTTTTTATCTTTTTACCTTTCTCTCCCTCTCTTTTTTTATTTTCTTTCTTTCTTTTTGAGGTTATACTTTTTTTGGCGCGTTTAAGGGGTTACATGGGTTTGGGACTTTCAAAAAAATTTTTTTATTTTATTTTTCAATTTTACAACTCATCTAGAATATTGTATTCAATTTTGAAGTCGATAGGAGTAGTAGTTTAAAAGATAGAGCCTTGTGAAGTACTCAAATCTTTAAACGCGTTTTTCTCAAAACGTTTTTTCTAAAGTCGGTTGACAAGATTTTTCGGAAATTATTAAACCGATATTGATGAAATTTGCTACACGTCTTCGTGATACTATCGACAAGGACTTGGACGAAGGATTTTCGTTTTTTTTCATCAAATCGAATTTTAAGAAACCAAAATGTGGTGAAAATTGTAGCGAAATTTGAATGTTCTTGCTAAAAACGTTGCCAAAAATCTAAATTTTCATTTTGTTCTTTTTCCTTCTTCCAGTTTCTAGTTTTATGTATTCACTAAAAGACCCTATTTTTTTCAACAGAAAAATCCCCACCGTTTATAAGTTCTGCTGTCAACGCGAAAACACTTTTTTCGGTTGGGTCAGCGGAAATGACGTCGCAATGGCTGAGTTGAAAATATTTTTCAACCAAAATTTTAGAAAATCTTCTTTAAATACGTATCTTAAATGCTATAAAAAGTTTGAATAAGAATTCCATTTTTTATATAGAAAAAAAAATTGTTGAAAATATGCTACTTTTTCCCGTTGTAAACCCATGTAACTCCTTAATGAGAGTGAATTTTTACGATGCGCGCGACACGCAGCGGCCGCGAAATTAACAACATGAAGTTAGCCACGGTATTTACGATGCGCGCGCACAACGATATGAAATTACCACAGCATGAAGTTAGTCGCATTAATACAAAAGAGAACAAAAGACTCTAACGGAGACATAATTATTAATTACGTGTGTTTTCTTTTCATTTATTAATAATAAATAGGAATATATTTAATAATGTAATATTAATGAAATGTAATAAAGGAAATTAAAGGAACGTGATATGGTGGAGAAAAAAGCAAGAGAGATGACAGATAATAATTAATTGATATTAATAAAACAAATATGTGGTATGTTAGAGTAATAGATTATAGCTATGGTCGTTGAAATGCAATTATCTAGGATTTCAACGTAACCGCAAATAAACGTAGGAAGTGTCCGAGGTATTATTATACTCGTGCGTATGTAACATTGGGTTGTACGCTGTTTGGCCAACGACGTAGACGACGTCTACGTCGTCGTCGTCGTTGTCGTCGTCGTCGTCGTCATGTACGTATGAGCAAGCTCGTATTAATTTAAGTTACGTACCTACGTAAATACCAACGTAGATACGTATATATGTATATGTATATGTACAAGTATATACGAATGTACGTACGTACGTACGTAACTGCGGGAACGTTGCGGTAACTGCAGTGGTGAACAGAAAAAAAAAGAAAAAACCACACAAAAAAAAAATAAAGAGCGTAAAATGCACCACAAATATTTGCGTTCTCATCCGAGTCGTACATATACCACCCACCAACCTAACATACATTTTAATTTTCGCATCCCTCTCGTAGTGCCGTTGAAAACTTTCCCTACGAAATCGTGGAGGGAAGGTGAGAATCTGTGCGACGATATTTTCATCTCGAAAGATAAAAAGAACAAATAAAATCGTCCAAGAAAGTAAAATAAAAAGGAGACAGACAGAAAGAGAGAGAGAGAGAGACAGAGAGAGAAATATAAAGAGAAATGTTTTGGCACAATTTAAGAATGATTTTTAACTAGATTACTGAAATATTTCCTCCACCCTTCCCCCAATCCCCCCAAGATGAAATATTTCAATAGAATAAAATAAAAAACAAAAACAAAACATTGTTTAAAAGAATATATATTAACAACGATAGAAATATAATGTACGGAAAGAAAGTAAATCGTTGTGTAAATTAGAAAGTCATTATTATCAGGGAACCAAGCGGGAAATTTGAAAGAAAAGAAAATAGAGAAAATACGTTTCATAATGCGAACAGAAGTTGGTAGCCTGCAGCAATGTGTAGGATGAATTAGAGTAGTCGTGTATATGCGTTGAGCACAAATACATATACATATTCACACCCTTTCAGCTTAGCATTTCAGTCTCTATGCAAATAAACGCGAGTGCATCATCGGGCGTGCATGTAAAACAAGTATGCATATGTCGTGTACCCGTTCTACAATATTGTGTTTCTCTCTTGTCACTTTTTCTCTCTCCCTCTCTTTCTCTCTTTAACTCTGTCTCTCTGGCTCGTTGAATCTAATTATTTGAAATACTAATGGGTCCTGGTTAAAAAGGTTATTTCGAATCAACAAAATGCAGATTTCTAACCTGTTCAGTCTGATGGTATTCTTCGTTTCTCGAACCATAAGTGCTCTCTCCCAAAAGTGCACGGCCTCTGGCAGGATTGTGTTCTGAAAAAAATACAAAGAGAAGAAAAAAAACACACACAGACACACACAGAATTAATGTGAGAGATTTAATGAATGAAAATAACAAACAAACAAAAGAAACTAGCCGACAAGTGCAACGAATGATACGCATATGCATGCATGTATTTGAATAGATAATTATATATATATACATACATATATGTACATATGCATATACATATATTACGATATGAGTAAATCGTAAAACCGATGCCCACACACGTGGCGTGTTCGAAATAATGCATGGCATTAATTGGAAGCAAAGGTAAAATCCAGGCTTGAGTGAGGGAACACGCTTACCCATACGCGCACACCGTCGTTTAATTTAAGCCGTCTCTGTTGTTTCGAGGCTACACGAGAGAATAGAGTTGAAAAAAAGAGAGAGAGATAGAGAGAGAGAGAGAGAGAGAAATAGATAGAGGGATGGTTGGATGACTGTCATTTTCGCAGGGTATATCTATGCTATCGGGCACTGTAATATTGTGCGGCATGAGACACGGATAACAACCATTATATCACGAACTGTATTTATTTTCCTGTTTCATCCATGGGATCTCTCTCTTTTTTAAACACACACACACACCCACACACACAGACAATTTTTCTTTATCTCTCTTTCTCTTCATATTTTACTCGAGCTTTTCCTTTTTCTATTTCTTCCTTTTTTTCCACACCCCCCCCCCGTTTACTCCCACCCACCTTACGACAAAGCTGCATCGTCACGGACGAGTTTGAAGAGAAAAAAGAAAATTACGGGAGAGAGAGAGAGAGAGAGAGAAGAAATTTTAAACAACAACAACAGGAACCAACAACCAAAAAAAAAAAAGGAACAGAAGGAACTTCTATGAGATAATGCTTTGCTTTTGCAGGAAGAGTGGGTGGTAGGGTGAAGGGGGGGTGTGGTAGCTGGTGCGAGAGAAAAACGTCCCAGTGAGCTTTCTGAAGTTTCAGCAGAAAACAAAACAACCAGAGCTGCTACTTTTTAGCTTTTAATACTGGTATGAGATTGGTGGAGAGTAAAAGAGAAAGAGAGAGAGAGAGAGAGAGAGATAGATTAATTTTAAGGTTGACGCTTCCGTGAATTTAAAAAGATTTTTGATCGAGGAGGACAATTTTTTCTTAACCTTGCGAATTGAATTTGTTTTGTATTTTTTTTTCGGCTCGGTAAACACGATCGAAGATAATAGAACGAAATTTAATAGTAAGAAATATTGTGCAAATTCTTGATGATTAAGGTTCACAGAGAACTTGGACATAAAAACTGTTTTTGAGGGTTTCAAATTATAACGAGCTAATACTTAATTAAGTTTAGATGTATTGTGTTTGGAATATTAACATAAAGAGAAATATATATGAGTTTCAAAGGGAAAATTGAAGACAGTTAATAAATTTTGATGAACAAATTTATTTGATCTTGTTRAWCGTTTCGTCCCTTACTGGGGACTTCCTCAGCAACTACAAAATTTTTTTTCTTTTTTTTTTTCTTTATATTATTTTATAATTATGACTTGTTAAAAAGATATATAAACATTACAATATTTTGTAGTTGCTGAGGAAGTCCCCAGTAAGGGACGAAACGTTCAACAAGATCAAATAAATTTGTTCATCAAAATTTATTAACTGTCTTCAATTTTCCCATTGAAACTCATATATATTAATATACTGTTGGGACAAGAATATTGATTATTAATATAAAGAGAAATGTATGTTGAATTAAATAAAAAAGACGCTGAGCTTTAAAGATTAAGTTGCTGAATAAGTCCCAATAAAGGGGACGAAACGTTCAACTTAATTAAATTAAGTTCTACTTCTTTTCATGTCCAAGTTTCCCTATGAACCTTTATCATCAAGAATTATAATTTTGGACGAGAGAAAATACTGAATTGTGCAAATTGTTTGGAATTTAAAATAGTTGTATAAATAATCCTGTAAATTCATTGCAAATATTATATTTTAACGATCGATAAAGAGAGAGATGGAAAATTGTTCGCGAAGGGTGGATGGAAGGGACTATTCTTCTTTCTTGCTTATAGTTGAAAGAAATATATAGAAAATGAATGAAAGAGAGAGAAAGAGAGAGAGAGGAAACTGACGGCGTTACTTCCGGCTGGCTTAAACAAACGATCGTTAGACGTGCAAAGAAGAAAGAAAGAAGGTTGAATTGGAGTAAGTGAGAAAACAAGAGAGAAATGAGAGAAGGGTTTCGAAGACGAAGAAGGAAGTTAGGGCTAGGTTTACTATATATATATATATATGTATGTATGTGTATGTGTAGGTGTGCGTCATTAATATCGGCCTAATGGCGAACGGCTGATAATTAAAATTCGAGATAGACGAACAAATGGTCCCTTCGAACTGGCGCGGACGTGCGAACACTTCATTTCTGTCTTTTCATTATTTTTCACCGCCGATTGTGTCGGTAGGAACGAACACAACGACACATGCCTGGTCATTAAAAGTCCACGTTCAACAACCTCACTCTCAATTTGTATTTTTTATTTTCTATTTTTTTTGTTTTAGATCTTATTTCGTATTTTACAAATACAATACTTATGTACAATACTCAACTCGAATGGAACTTTTTATTTTTATTTATTTTTTTTTCTCCAATTATTTTCTACAAATTGTCTAAGGCGTGATGGTAAAAAAAAGTGTCACGCAATGTTGGGAAAAAATTAGCAAACGCAACTACTCGTTACAATTGTGTAACTAATGTTAAAGTTACTTACTCTCTCTCTCTCTCTCTCTCTCTCTCTCTCTCTCTTACAACGAATGTGCATTAAATCGATGAAACGTCAAATATTTCACGTAACTTCATTTACAATCCGACTCTCTTTCTCGACCTGACCTAACCCCCCCCCTCCCACCTCCACCCTCTCCTTTTTTTTTCTTCTTCTACAACGAGTACAACAGAGGACGGGGTGAATCGAATGAGCTTCGTCACGAACGGCCTTATGAAAAATTTATTTTACCTCGCTTCGCGATTCGATATCCCTTTCGAGACGATTTTTTTTCTTTTTTCTACTTTTTTTTTTCTTTTCTTAAGAAACAAATGGTGAATTCTTATATGTAACGGTGATTGTAAAAGTGTCTTGAATGAATATTGAATAAAGAAAATAATTGAGACTTGGTTGAATCGATTAAAATAATAATGAATGATTTTTTTTTTTTCGGACGACAAATGGAAAATTGAGTTGTTTCTTAAAAGTTAAACGATAGACGGGTTTGTTATTATTATTCAAAGATTTATTTCAACGACAATTCAAGTGTGTCAATGTTTTTTTTTATAAAGAATAATATGCGATTGCGTTAAGAAATAAAAGATATCAATAATTTTTTCTTTCATTTCTTTTCTGTATGAAAAGTCAAGCACTCGTTTTTTTTTTAAGATGTCAAAATAGAAATGAGTCGAAGTAAATGTAACGTTAAAAAATTAATTTCGAGGGAGGAAGGGGGTGGTCAGTTTTGTTTCGATTGTATTTTCCAACGAGATCCTGATAAAAAATGGTGGTAATGGTGAAAAATATTTGCGAGAATTTATTGTACGAGCCTCATGTATGTCGTAATATAAGAAATAATAATAAAATAAAATTTCTAGTTGCTGAAGAAGTCCMAATAAARRGAYGARACGTCCAACTAAATCAAACATAGTTCTACTTCTTTCATGTCCAAGTTCCCTGTTAAATTTCATCTTTAAAAATTTGCGAGAATGTGTGTCAACACTGGTTGGACGGATAAATTTAGTATAAAGCGCATAAAAGCGCTTGGTTGGTTGGTTGGCCGGTTCGTTTATTCGATAATAGCAATGGGTAAAAAGAGTAGAGATGAAGTTGGGAGGGATAGGAAATGGAGAGTTGCTGGTGGAACGAGTAAAAAATGAACAAAAATGAAGGAGCTTCAAGAGGATAAACGAAAAGTGTGGATGGACAGGTAAAGAGGAATGTTTAAAGGCCATTTTGTGGCTCGTTACGCTCGATTTTCTCTTTTTTCCCCTATTCCTACTTTATTTTCTCTCCTCCCCCTTCTCCTCCTCTTCCTCTTCCTCCTCCTCGTACTCGCCATCTTTCTTTCATTTCAAATAAACGGATTGGGTGAGTCGAGCCATTGAAAATATTTGTAAGAGATATTTCGAGCGACTTGATGTACGAGATGGGAAAATAACAACTACCCCCTACTCCCCCCTCCCCCTTCTC